CTGACCCGTCGAGGCGCGGCCGGGGCGAGGCTTCGCACGTTGCCCTTTCCGCCAGACTGCCGCGGCTGGCTTGCGGACACGGCAGGGTGGCCTCGGCTCTTGGGAGCTTCGCCTTTCGGGGTGTGGGGGGGGGGGGGGGGGGGGACGGCCGCAAGGGGAGAGGAGGCTGGAGGGACAAGGGCAGTTGGGGAGAGGGGGGCTGGAGGGACAAGAGGGAGGGCAGTTGGGGAGAGGGGGCAGTTGGGGAGAGGGGGAGAGGGGGCAGTTGGGGAGAGGGGGCAGTTGGGGAGAGGGCCGCAAGGGGAGAGGGCAGTTGGGGAGAGGCGGGCTGGAGGGACAAGAGGGAGGGATGGGGTCGGAGGAGGAAAAGGTAGCCATACCGCGGCACTTCCTCGTTTCCCCTTTCTGGGCCTCCGGGGCGGCTCTCGTCGCCACCGCAGGATTCGCCCCGAAATCCTGGTCAGAACGCACCCTGGGAGAGGTCCGGGGAGCACCAGTATCGGCACCTTTGAGCTTCCCCAGGGGAAGGGAGGGAGGGAGGGAGCCTTCCATTTTGGCCACTAGAAAAGGCGCCAACTCACCCGGAACTGCACCCTGGAGAGCTCCCCCCGGGGGCGGGGTCAGGACTGCGCGAAACCGCTCCAAAGCGTTCCGGAGCGCTCTCGGAGTGTTCAGGAACGCTCTGAGAAGGCTGCGGGGCCCTCCTCCTTCTCCTCCTCCTCCTCCTCCTCCTCCTCCTCCTCCTCCTCCTCCTGCTCCTCCTTCTCCTCCTCCTCCTCTTCCTCTTCCAGTACCTCTCTCTTAGAACTGGAGGCTCTCAGAGTTCCTGTTTCATCTAGGTCTGAGTGTGTCCACGTTCTGGCTTCGTTTTACGGGCAGGGGGAAGGAGGATGTTGGTGGTCACGGGCGTTATCGCGAATCAGAGCAATAACGGGCTCGCAGGAAAAGGGAAGCCGCGAAATTCTTAACGCTTCGTGTATCCCACCACTAGTACCTGGAGGTCGTTTTCCTCTCGGCATTGTGTTGTTTTTCTTGGACACGGACCGCGTGTTCGGCAAGGTTATTTGGGTCACCGGGTGGGCTTTCCCTACTTCCGTCACGGCTTTCTTGGGTAAGTGTGGTGTTTGGGCTTCCAGCCATAGTCGCCACTGGTCCGCTTTGTGCTGCCTTCGCGCCATTTTGGCTGCGCTGAGTCCCACCCCGCGCCTGGCGTTGTTCTTTGCTCTGTTTTCCCTTAGCCGATGGCACAGCCTGCCCCTGCTCGCCGGTCGTTCGACCCGTTTCGCGCGCTCGCGCACCACAAAAAGTACCCCCGCCAACCCATCCAGAAACGATGCCCGTGAGAGTTGACGGGGGGAGAGATGAACAGACCCATTGTCAAACAGCGAAGGGGGCTTGGGAGGCTCCGTGGCCATCTCGAGCCGTCTTGGAGCGGTCTCGGGGCCTCTTGGAGCATGTTCGGAAGCATCTTGAGCCAGCTTTGGCTATCTGGGCCATCTTGGAGGTCATCTTGGGCTCTCTGAGGCTGCTCGGGGACCTCTTTGGTGCTCTCTGGTGCCTCTTGAAGCCTTCTTGGGGGCCTCTTGGGACGCTCTTGGAGCCCTTTGGGGGGCCTCTTTGGGCCCGGGGGGGGCGTCCTGGGTCCATCTTGGAGGCGGTCGGGGAAAAGACGGGGGGTAATACTCGATTGCCTTCTCCCCTTTCGGAGGCCACGATCCTTGTGAAGGATGTCAAAAATTGGCCCTCCCAGGGGCCGGAACAACAACAACAACAACAACAACAACAACAACAACAACAACAACAACAACAACAACAAAACTCCGACACCTCGCGACCCCAAACAACCTCTGGGAGGGGAAAGGGAGAGGAAAGAAGGAAGGGAGGAAGGGGAGGAAGGGGTTGTGGAAGAGGAAAGAAGCCTTCACTGGAGCGCCTGTCGCCCAACGGGCTGGTGGGATATGCTGCGTGCGGCTGGGCCCGGCCCCGCCGCCACGCCCTTTCCTGGATGCGCTGGCGATTCTGGCGCTGGGAGGCTCCAGGAAAACCAGTGAGCTGATTTTCGGCGGGGCGACGATCGGGGCGAATACTGCAGGGGCGGGCATTCCATGTTTTGCCTTCCCCTGGGCTGTTCGCGCCTGCCGTCGCCCCCGGGATTCGCCAACCTTCTGCACACCGACGGGGCCGGCTGCCGGCGCATGCGGCGCGGGGAGAGGTGGGGGGGGCCCCGGCCGAGCGCCGGAGGCACCCACGGGCACCACCACGCTGCTGGGGGACATCGCCGAGGGGAGCCAGATGCTCACGGCGCGCGGGGGGGCGGGCGGGCAGCGTGTTGCGCCCGCGCCACGGGGGGGGGGGGGTCCACCGCAGTTCAAGCCGGTGGAGAGACGTTGTTTCCATGCGGTAGCTCAGTAGCTACTCCTCCTCCGCCTCCAGCCTGGGGAGAGGCTGGCTGACTGCAGTGGGGGTCAGCTGTCTCTGTCTCGGTTTCTCTCTCTCTCTCTCTCTCTTTCTCTCTTTATCGCTCTCTCTCTCTCTCTCTCCCCCTCTCTCTCTCATCTCTTCTTGCCTTTAAGAACACCCTCTTTCTCTTGATTCCTCTCTCTTCCTTGATATTGGATTCCCTCGCGCATGGAGGCTCGAGGAGTAGCAGGAGGAGGAGGAAGAGGTGGAGGTGGATGAGGCAGGAGTTGTGTGTATGCCGGGCGCTTAATGCCTGGACTCGGTTGATGCAGGCGGTCTCTTTCCTCGAACTCGGGCCCCTCGCGGCCTACGCAGGTCGGCGCTTGCCGGGGCCAGGCTGTCGCAGCGAGGGAGGCATCGATCCGCCGTCTAAAGTAGCCGCGCACGGTCGTAATGACGATGGTTATGATGACGGCGATGATTATGACGTTGATCATTGGCGGTGGTCATGATGTTGGCATGGATGGTGAGCATGATGCTGAGGATCTTGGGGATGAGCATGTGCATCAGCATGATGATGATGACGATGATGCATGGTGAGGTTGGTGATGCTGATGATGATGATGATGGTGGTGGTGGTGGTAATAATGTTGATGCTGAGTATGGTGATGACGACGATGGCGATCACGATGACGATGCAGATGCCGATGCCGATGTCGATGACGATGGCGATGGCGATGGTGATGCTGTTGATGCTGATGGTAACTGTTATGGTGTTGGCGATGCTGATCGTTGTTGGTGGTGGTGACAATGATGATTATGATGATGATGATAATGATGATGGTGGTGATGACAATGACGATGACGATGCTGGTGATGATGATGTTAGTGATGATGGGGATGGCGATGATGCTGATGATGCTGCTGATGAGGATGATGCTGATGATGATGATGATGATGACGACGCTACTGGTGATGATGATGCTGAGGAGGATCAGGATGAGGATTTCGATGCTGATGATAACGATGATGATGATGATGATGATGATGATGATGATGGTGGTGATGATGATGATGACCGTGATGATGGTGATGATGATGATGGTGGTCGTATGGTGATGTTGATGGTAATGGTGGTGTTGATGGTGCTGACAATACTGGAAACCATTATGTGGTTGCTGAATCTAGTGATGACGATGCTCATGAGGATGCTTGTAATGATGATGATGATGATGATGATGATTATGATGATGATGATAAGGATAAGGATAAGGATAAGGATAATGGTGATTGTGCATGGTATTAGTGATTGTAATGGTGGTGACGATAATGTCGATGACGATGACGCGACTGCTGATGCTGTTGTAGCTGGTGGTCATATTGATGCTGTTGGTGGCACTGATGCTGATGCTGATTGTGATGCTGATGACTATGATGACGACGGTCGTGATGATGCTGCTGATGATGATACTGATGATGATGACGATGCGTGTTATGATGATGATGATGATGATGTTGATGCGGATGGTGGTGATGCTGATGATGCTGATATTGTTGAGGTTGATGATGATTATGTTTATGATGATACAGTTGTCCATGATGATGCTGAGCATGATGATGGCGATGATGACGATACTGATGATGATGCTGCTGATGAGGGTGATGACGATCGTGATGAGGATGACGGTGCTGATGGTGATGATGCTGTTGGTGATGAAGATGCTGATGCTGATGATGGTGATGATGATGCCGCTGCTGATGCTGAGCATTGTGATGCTGATGATGTTGATGACGATCAGTGTGATGAGGCTGATGATGATGATGATGCTGATGATGATGATGATGATGGTGCTGCTCATGAAGCTGATGGAAGTGACGTCGCTATTGTTGATGATGGTGATGACAATGATTGTGAATTTGATGCTGAGGGTGATGCTGCTGATGATAGTGCAGGGTCATGTTGAAACATGGTGATACGACTGACGGTGTTGATGATAATGATGTTGATGATGTTTATGGTGATGGTGAAATTGGTTATGATTATGATGATGGTGTGTTGATGGTGATGACGTTGCTGATGGTGATGATGATGCTGCTCATGCTGGTAATGTTGATCATGATGTTGATGCCTATGCTGATGATGATGTTGCTAATCATGATGACGAGGAGGATGATGCTGATGTTCCTGATGATGATGCTGATGATGCTGATTATGATGATGATGATAACGATGGTGATGGTGATGATGATGGAGATGATGCTGATGCTGATGATGCTGATGCTGATGATGATGATGATGATGATGATGATGATGATGATGATGATGATGATGATGATGATGGTGATGATGATGATGATGCGGCCTCGCAATTCGCTTTGGTGCTCGCGAAGCAATACGCCATGCAGCCTTTGACCCCACACGCGTCCTCTGAACGGAACTGCAAGAGCAGTTGGAGCGGCTGCGACAAGAGTGTTGGCCGCGGCGCCCTTGGGGGCAGCCAGGCTCGAGCCTGGATCCTCGGACTCGATCCTCTGTCGGCGACTGAAGTACAGGATCCATCGGCGATCGAGGTCGAGGAGCGAGGTCGAGCCTCGATCCTCGACCTCGCCCGAGGAGTGCCAGGAACTGGAGTCAGGCTCTGAACTGGAGTCAGGCTCTCGAACCTTGACCCTCCGAGGATCCATCGGCGATCAGCGATCGAGGTCGAGGAGCGAGGTCGAGCCTCGATCCTCGACCTCGCGCGAGGAGTGTCGAGAACTGGAGTCAGGTTCTCGCACCTGAGGAACGATCTTCGATCGTCAATCGAGATATATCTAGGTCGAGCCTCGATCGTCGACTTCGCCCGAGGAGCGCCAGGAACTGGAGCCTGGCTCTCGAACCTCGACCTTCGAGGATCGATCTTCGATCGTCGATCGAGATCGCATGTCGAGGTCGAGCCTCGATTCTCGACATTGCCCAGGGGGTGCCAGGATGCGCGACGAGAGCGGGAGACCGCCGTGCTCGCCCTCTTGTTGCTTCGGTTCAGGTGTTGGTGGTCCTCCTTGTTGCGGCCCCCACCCCATCGCGCTCCGCCTCCTTGTCCTCATGCCCTTCCTTCGGCTCCTTCTCCCCGAGTGTTCTCATCTTTCTGCTGTTGCTTCTCCTCCTCCTCCTCATCCCTCCCCTCCCCATGTTTCTTCCTCTCCCCCTCCCCATCCCCCTCCCTACTCATTTTTCCTTCTCCCTCCCCCCCCTCCTCCCCCTCCTTCTCCCTGCTGCGGTTCCTCCCCGTTCCGCTGCCGCTCCTCCCTGTCCTCGCTACTCGGCGGATGGAGTTGCTGGTCGCGCAGTGCGCAGGGACGAGGAGGAGGAGGAGGAAGAGGGATAGGAGGAGGAGGCGGAGGAGGAGTAGGAGGAGGAAGGATAGGAGGAGGAGGAGGAGGAGCAGGAGGAGGAGGAGGAGGAGGAGGGGGAGAGAGGCTTGACGATGGAACTGGTTGAGGAGGAGGGGGTGCGGATGGAAGATGAGGAAGCCAAGGAGGGACATGGGAATGGAAGAGGAGGAAGAGGCGGCTGAGTAGGGAGACCGGCACATATGACAATATAGTGATCGAGGGGACGGGAGATTGGAGGAGGATGGGGGAGGGAGTGCAGGGAAGAGAGGTTTGGAGGGAGGGAGGTAGGAGCAGGAGAAGGACTAGGGGTTGGGGATGAGCAGGGGATGAAGCGGGGAAGGTTGCGGATGATTTGAGGGAGGAGGAAGAAGAGGTGGTGGATGAACGAATCAGGAGACGATGGTGTGTGGGAGAGGAGAAGGCGGTTAATGAGGAGAAAAGGAGGTTGGAGGGCGAGCAGGAAGACGAACACAGCTCAAGCGCCGCCGCTTTGCGCAGGTGTGGTCGCGTGCGGGCTTCTCAGTGGGCGATACCATCTCGCTCACCGCGGCAGACGGGTCGACGGAGACGCAGGACGCACTGTTTTTTTATTATCATGAGCAGAAGGAGAGAGGATTGATGACTACGAGGAGGAGAGAACGGGCTCCCCTCGAGGACAAATGATTACTTCGAGGATAGACGACCTCGATATATTACTTCGAGGAAAGATAGAGGGCTCCCCTGATAGATGACTTCGGGGAAAAGATAACCTCGAGATTTCTCCTTTTCCAGGGAGGAAGGGCCCGTATAGATGACGAGGATCAGGAGAGAGGAGGGGAGGGGTGGGGAGGAGGCGGAGCAGGACGATGTTGAGGAGGAGGAAGGATGAAGGAGCAGGTGAAGGAGCAGGCAGGGGAGGATGAGGACGAGTGGGGGCAGGGAGCAACAAACGTTGTAGCTGCAGTAGGAGCAGAGAAAAGGGGTGAAGACAAAACCTTGAGTAAGAGGAGTAGCAGCAGCAGCAGCAGCAGCAGCAGCAGCAGCAGCAGCAGCAGCAGCAGCAGGAGGGAGCCTGCGGCGGAGGATGGGAGGACAGTAGCCAAGCAGGAGGAGACAGAGAAGTAGGAAGTATGAGTAGTAGTCGCATTACTCGTAAAAGATCTCTGGTAGTAGTAGCAGCCATCTCATCACAGCAGTCGTATTATCAGCCGTATTAGCAGTGGTATTATTTGTAGCAGTCGCAGGCAAATCAGCAGGATGACACAGAGGGCCAGCGGCCAACGGGAGCCAGTCCCACCCCAACGTGGCGAGTTCGCCTCGGGCGCGCTGCACCACACGTTCTTCTGAACTCGCACTTTTGGCGGTGGCTAGAGTCGGACGGGGCTAGGATAAATCCGTTCCAGAGCGTTCCAGAACGTTGTCAGAGCGTTCCAGAACGCTCTGACAAGGCCGCGGCGCCCCAGACATCCCCAAGGGCAGCCAGACCTCAGAGATTCTCGACTTCTCCTCACTCGAATATATCCTCGTCCTGGCTTCGTCTTATAGAGGTCCTGAGCCCCTCTCCCGAACGGGGCCCCCAGTATGGCTTCGCCATTCCTGGGGGGCCCCTTTCACTGTCTTCCCTTCACCTCCACCTCCTCCTCCTGCTTCCTGCCACCTCCTCGTCCTCGTGCTCGCCCTCCTCTTCCATCCGGTTCTTCCGGCCTACTCGATCTCCGTTTCCGATGTTCCTCTTTTCCTCATCCTTCTCCTTATCGTTCTCATCGACTTCTCTGCCTCCTCCTTCCCCCCCGTCCCCTCCGCGTCCCTCTCCCCCGTACCACTTCTCTCTCTCTCTCGCTGCTCGTCTCTCCCCTCCGTCCGCTGGGAGAGGGAGGCCATCGAAAGTGTCGACGGCGAGGACGATTCCAACGGAATACTGAACCTCAAAGCTGGAGGGGTTGCGGGCTGGAGCGCGATGGCAGAGTGAGTTGCGTCCTTTTGCGCTTGCTCTCCTTCGTCTCAGAGCCTCCCATTCCTCCTTCTCCTCCCACCTCCCTCCTCCTTCCTCCATCCTCCCCCCTTTCCAAGCTTCTTTGTCCTCCTCCGTGTCCTCCTCTCCTCGTTGTTCCCTTTTCTGCTCTCCTCCCTGAATTCTCGTACCTCACTTCCTTATCCCCCCCTTGGCCATGTCGTATTCGGGGCTTCGGCGCCGCATACAGAGTGGCTCGGCTTCGCCTCGAGCGGGTTTCCCGAATCCTTGTTTTGGATCAGCACGACAGTCCAATACATGGTCCACACCCTCCTCACCGCTCATCCTTCTCGTTGCTCGTTATCCGTCCGTCCTGCTCCATCACTCGCCGCCCCTTGTTTCCTCACCCCTCCTCCTGCGTCATACCTTCAGGTTCCATCTCGATCAGATCGATCCGATCCGATATCGATGTCAGCTGGCCGGATCTGAATGGCCTGCAATATTCTGGCGAATCGATACGACCCAATGTTTGCACGGCGCCATGATGCATCCTGAAATGGCCGATCCGATCCAATTTCGACCTCGTGCCGATGCAGCCCGACCCGACGCACGCTCTGATCCTGTCCAGCTTGACGAATCGATGCTGGTTGGCCCTACCTCCTTCCCCCGCCTCTTGAGTATACGTCATTTCGCTCGCTTTCCTTACCCTCCTGGCCATCCTCGTCTTGCAATGCAGACCGAGAGAGGGCGGCCATGCAGGGGGATGAGGCGGAGGATGAGGAGGATGGGCAGGGCTGGGGTGAGCGTGCAGACGCATGAAGCAACTTTGCACGTCACCTCTCCCCAGATCCTTCTCCACAGTCGTATGTTCACCCTTTCTCTCTTCCCGCTCCTTGGGTGCATCAGGGCCTCTGACCCCGGCACCACACATCGTGTTGTGCTGTGTCGTGTGCGGATGGGAGGGACGTCGAACGGGGCCAGGACGAGGGTAAATCCGTGCCAGAGCCTTCCGGATCGCTCGCAGAGGGTTCCGGAACGCTCTGAAGAGGCCGCGGCGCCCAAACTATCCTTAGGAGCCGCGAGATCTCAGAGAGTCTCGATATCCCCACTCGACTTGATCCTCGTCCTGGCTTGGTCTTGAGGGAGGCGGCAGCCCTCTCCCCTGATCATCCGTCTCTTCTTCCTCCTCTCCGCGCGGCCTCCCGAATCCTATCCGTAGCATGCAGTGCGTATGCTTCAAGGCGACTAGACGGAAGAGTAACATTTCGCTGGAGTGACGTTCGGTGCGGGCCCGATGGGGTCCCCCGATCGCCGAACGCAATGCGATAGTAGTGCCGTGTGCGCTTGTGTTTGGTTCCCCCGCGGCCACCAAGAAGCCGCGCACCAAAGGGCACTCTTACCCAGGGTCACTCTTGCGTGTAGTCGATCAAGGCATCTCAGGGTCCGCCCTGGGCCGCAGTCAGTTCTGGTCCAGCACCTGCACGTCCTAGATCTCGCGTTGAGCAGCCCGATGGGTGCTCGATGGGCATGGCTTGGTCTTGAGGGTGCCTCGCGTAGGCCAGGGGATGTGATGCTCACAGTGGGTGTCCGAGACAGTCATTGGACAGTGTGGGCAGCAGAAACACTTGGCACGGCCTGCGCCAATTGGTTGTCTGTTCGTTGGGGAGGGGGATGCGAACAGGGGAGGAGTAGGGAGGGGAGTGTATCATGTTCGCAGACATGGCGCAACAAGAAAATGATTGACAGTCGACAAATGGACGGTGGAGGCTTGCAGAAAGCATATTCAGATGGTGCTGCGGTGAAGAAGGCCTGCCTTCTTGTACTAATGGCGTCGGTTCTGCTTGTTGCCCCTACTCCCTGACACGGTATGCTCCCACACGGCGTCCTGCACCTTCTTGTTCTCCGCATCTTCATCTTCCCCCCCCACCTTCCACTCGTGCCTTCGGCCAGCATCACCCAGGGCATGCTTTCGGCAATGCGCCCTTCTGCGATGCGTCGCGCAGGTGACGAACGCTCCTATGTGGCCCAAATATTCAGTCTCCACCTCGGCTCAGGCCGCGGGACGGGCTCGTGCAGGAGAGCTCGAGCGATTCGCTATGCCGCGCGTTGTCCCGGCGCAGTCTCAGCAGGTCAGTTCCTGGCGGCGCCCGCAGTAGGGCAGGATCTCTCTCGCGCCTTCGAGCAGCTTCGCTCCGCCCGCCCGCCATGCACGACGCGAGGACACGGCATCGACATCGTTTTCTCGGTGGGAGAGCACTCCGTTGAACTTTGGTTTCGCCCCCCCCAAAATCGGGGGCGGCAAAGAGGGGTGTGATGACTAGGGGGGGGGGGATATAATGACGGAAGCCATCATGTTTCCGCAGATATCATGGCGCCTCTTCTTGTTTCAATACGTCCCCGGCCCCCCCTGGGCCGCAAGCATGCCGCCGGCCGTCATTTGCACCCCCCCCTCTTGGCCACCACCGACCAGTTTTCAATGCCCCATCCGCTGCGCAGGAGTCGCAGGCGTGCTTGAGCGCAGACCGTCCGAGTGCAGACCAGTAGGGGAAGGGGGGCAACTGAATGAAATGATGTTGGCTCGCTTGGTCGCCCCCGCTCTCGCTCACCTGACTCCTTCTCCGTTGCGCGGCGGCCAATGTTGGTACAAGGTGGCTTAGTATGGCACCAGGAAGCTACAAGAGGCCCCCAAGAGGACCCTCGCATGGTCCCGCACGAGAGTCCCACTGATGAGGAGGGGAGAGGATAGTCGCGCACCCCTCATGTTATCCCGAGCACTGATCCGAATATTGCCTTTAGTAACGAAGCAGTGACGTGTCCGTGGTTCCTATTCATTCGGGAACGGTGCCTTGTCCGCGCTATACGCCAGGATGCAAGTCAGTTCGGACAATCACTCGTGCAAACAGCTCGCGCTACGGTCTTAGCACGTAGAACAGAAAACATGCGCCGTGTGTGTACATATTGAATGCCCCTATGTACATACAGCTACACACACTTCAAACAACATGCGAAAGAACTGGTGTGCGCCAGCACTCTCGCGCGCTGGCGTGTGTTGGGCCGCTGCCGTGCAGCACCCACGCACGCACACACTGCGGTCACGGTGGAAGTTGCATCCGTTTCCCTGGGCCCCCAGAAATGCCCTGGACACTCTGCGTTCCCGCCTGCGCGCGTCCACGCGCCACCAGGGGGCCAGGCGCGCGCGTGGCCAGGCCGGAGTTCCAGCATTCCTCTTCCTTCTCATCCTCATCCTCCGTCTCCCTTGCGATTTGGGGTCTGGGCTGCCGTCCGCGGTGCGCTCTGCGCCTCTGCGCTCCGGCCGGCGCGCAGGAGAAGTCTGCTCCTTCGGCCGAGAAGGCGGCCGAGGCCAAGGGCGATGAAAATGCCGACGCCAAGGCCAGCTGGACGGCCAGAACGTGCTCCGCGATGTGTTATGGTATCCAAGGGTTGTTCGATTATCTTCTGGGCGCAGGAACGGAAAGAACAACAAGTAGCATCAACACCATATCTCGGAGTTCCGCGCGGACTTTTCAGATCGGCGTTGGGACCCTTTGGCGGCGCTTCTGGCGCCGCCCCTGGCGCGCTCCGCGCGCCAGGAAGGGCGGTCCAGCGCCGATCCAATGATGAAATTGCTGTTTTATGTGTCGCTTTCTTCGTCCAGGAGTTGTCTGATTAGTTTGTGGGCGCAGGAACACATTATGTGTGCATACATTTGTGTATATATATATATATATATGTATAGGTACGTGCACGTAAACACACATATCTATATGTATATATCTATATATACATATATACAGGTGCACGTATACACGGACATAGGCAGAGACAGAGACACAACCAAGGAAACGTAGAGAGAGAGGCCATCATGACACGAGGGCACTCACGGCAACTTCAATGAAGCGTGCCGTGTTGTGGATGGTTCTTATGTCCCCCGCTGAGTTCGTCGGGATTCCGACGGGGGGGTATATTTTCGTATTGATGCCATGAGATCCCCGAATTGAGTTCTCAGGGATATCGTCGCAGTGGTTTCGCAGAGGCCTTGTGGACATTGTGACCAGTTTGTCATGTGGTCTCGCCATCGCATCCTAGCGAAGGCTCGCGGCTACCCACGGCATGTTGTGAGTTTTGTGTTATGTGTTCTGTGTGTTGTGTTTTGTGTGGTGTGTGTGTGTGTGTGATCTGTCGTGTGTGTGTGTGTGGTGTGTGTGTGATTGTGTGTATAATTGTGTGTGTTTTTGGGGGGGGGCTCATGGGAGGCCTTCTGGGCCTCCTGAGGGGACTTCCTCCGCCCCCTGTAGGGCAACTGGTCGGTCGATGGGTCGGTCGTTCGGTCGATCGGCTCGAGGGCCGCTTGACCGACCTGCTTTGGACCACAGAGGGCCATCCAGGGCCACGCTGGACCCCGCGGCGACTCGCAGCGCGCCGAGGCCGGGTTCCCTGTGACGGGCCAGGGAGATATGGCGAGGCAGAGCCTTTTAGCCATAAGTGCCAGGACGCTAGTTGGATAGTATGGCCGCGCGTGGGAGCAACTCCGTAGCAGCAGGCACGCTCAGCCTTCAAGAGTTCGCGCAGGAATCACCATTCAAGTGCTCGTGGTGTCGGCCGCGATGGGTCCTCCTGGCTTGGCAAGGGCGATTGGGCGAGCTTTGCAAGGCCAAAGCAGCTGTTCGGGCAGACGGGAGCCATACGTAAGGGTGCGGATTCGATGCTGGGGAGGAGGAGGAGGAGGAGGAGAAGGACGAGTACGAGGTGGAGGAGGAGGAGGAGGCGGAGGAGGAGGAGGAGGAGGAGGAGGAGG